CATTTAAAAGTCTGATGACTTCTTGGGTCAAGGAAGCCGTGGGGACCAGGAGGACCACACAAATTATTGGTGAAAGTGCAGCCTGCTGAAAAGCATAAATTGCTAGAGCGAATGCTTGCATGATAGCTGTCAGCGTGAACGCACAGGCTGTGTTGATCCTCTCACTCCTAAGAACTTTCTGCACATGTGCAAATGTACATGCATGCCAGGACATGATACACTACTATAAGTAAATATATATATATATATATATATATATATGTATATGTGTATATATATACATATATATGCATGCATACATATTATATATAAGCATAAACATAATGTATAGCATAGACTATATAATAGCAAAGACTAGAAATAACCATATTGTTTCCTTAGTAGATGGCTAGCTAAATAAATTCTAGCCCAGACTCTGGAACACTGTGCAGACATCAGAAAGGACAAGGCATTCTCTATATACTGACATGTGTCCCTCTAAAAGCAAAGAATAATATATACAGTATGCTACAGTTTGTAAAAGGAAAACAAAATCTTGGAAAGTTCACCTAAGAAACTGGTAACCACAGTGGCTTCTGAAGAGGCGGATGGGGGCAGAGACCGTGAGCAGTGTCCCTTCACCGTGTGTGTTCTGAACTATATGTGTGCATTATTTACTCTGGTAAATTTTGAAAAAGTCAGCACATAAGCATGTCTGCTGTTGTGTTATATACACCCCAGACAAAGCAGCCAAGTGGCAGAGAGGCAGTAGTGGGGAAAGCCTTCAAGAAATTTTAGTGAATCCACAAGAATATAAAAATATTTCTCAGAGCTTGAACAAATGCTTCTGATGCAGTACAGTTCCATGGCATATTCCACTGAATGAACACTGGTTGAGAATACCAAAGTATGTGTGTGTGTACAGCATTTCCAAAGTGGACACCAGTTATTAGGCTAGGATAATAGAAGTACGGGCTATTTTTAAAAATATTACTATTGCAATGATAGCAATTATTTTCAGTCTTAATTAAATTGTAGTGAAGTCACTTTAAATAACTGTTAGAAAAAGGATACAAATTACTTCCCAGCATATTAAACAGCTTTCAGGATAAAGGTCAGAAATCTTTGCAACCTCATGAGAATAGAAGAAAAACCAGAATATTGGTGACAAAAAAAACCAATCTAAATGTCCAATGTAGAAACAAAATGGGCCTTGGGCAGGTTAGGTGGCATCGATTACTGGCAAAATCCTAGAGATTATTCAAGAAAAAAGCCAGCTTCAGAAACCGACAGGGACTTACTAGGCACCACGCTGAATAAACTACACAAATTGCTAAAAGCAGCATATTCCAATCGATGGTGTTATTTTTAAACTTTTTCAAAGTGAAACTCTGAGAAGTGCCTGAGAGTGGGGACCTTAGGTGGAGTGGGAGAGGGAGGCCAGGAGGTCGGGAGGCCCGGCCCAGCCTCAGATCCTCAGAGCCGCCTTTCTATGACAGGAGAAGGTGCGAGGCTGACACCCTTCCCCAGGGGTGGAGGAGGAACCACAGGCCGCTGGGAGAGTCGGGAGGGAGCTGAGAATCTGGCTCCGGTGCTGAACACCTGGCCTGCTCAACGTGTGTTCACTGGTTCGTCACTGTGATACGATCCTGTGTTAAGACTTACACTGAGTAATTATTCTTAATCATCAGAAATGATTCCTGATAAAATGTTTCAAAAACTATAAAGGGCTGCACCAAAGAAAGGGAGTATTATTATTATTATTATTATTATTATTATTAATTATTTTGAAGGCATTAGAGGTTTTGTCATGCAAGTTCCGTTACAGATAACAAAAATTAAAGGCCAAGGCGGGGGGATAAAAATTAAAAAGATTCCAGCTCTCGACTTACTTCCTAAAACAATGGAGATGAAACCTAAGTCAACCAGTGTGCTACATGCGCCGAGGCAGGGAAATCTCTACTTCATGTGACACATGCAAAGGACAAGGTGGCGACTTTGTCTTGAGGTTGCCAGGAGCACGGGGCATCTGCCAAAAAGCCTTTTGGCATCTGTAAGTTCTGTTAGTGGAGGAGGTGAGGTATCCAGGGTTCTGTCCCTCTTTAGGGCAGAACTCCAGGGCCTGCTGGGTTGTGTTCTGAAGCTGTACATAATAGACGCACGCAGCCCCACAATCAGCATGGCTGATTTTGTCAGGTACTGAGTGGTTGAAGGAGGTGCACATATTTCAGTCAAGAAAGAAACCACTAAAAACACATTCTATGAAGAAAAAGGCAGCCATTCTGAGGAGTGGGCTGCACAAACAGGCACACAAGGACTTGAGTCTTCTTCACTGAAAACATGTGACTTCCGCAAGGAAGCCCAGGCAGGGCTGGCTCGGGCTGCCCAGGGGTGAGCGCTCTATCTCCATGGGCGGAAGGACTCGGCGGGCTGGGGAACGAGTGTGTCAGGACTGCAAGGCAGGAGGAGCAGGGTCACGCTGAGATCCTTTCTCGGTGGCAGCCTGGGCTTCCCACTGGCGTGGCTGTCTTGAGTGTGTGGGTGCTACTGACAGCTAAGGAGCCAATGGGGGGGTCCTGGCCCTGACACATCTTTATCTCCCCGTCCCCACCTAACACCTAGGGTAGATAAGGACACACTGCAGTCCATGCTGCCTCCTGTCCACCTGTCCACCAGCTGACCGACGTGGCTGCGCTTTAAAGGCACTGCCAGCAGTGCATGCGTAAGGGGCACAGCAGTTCCTTCCCGGGCAAGAAAAGAGACAAACACAACTTCTCTGACCCTGAACTTCATCCAGCAACAGAGGCAAAACCTTGCCCCTCTTCTACTTCTCTCTGCCAACAAGGCTGCCAGGCGCCCGACCCTCAGCACGCCCACATCCATTACAGAATCTTGCCCACATCCGTGCGCCTGACACAGTAGCCTGTGCACACTGCCAGCAGCAGAAAGTGACAAAACGTGCTAGAAACGCTCTTTAAAGCATTTGTTATAGAACACCGTGGAAGGACAGTCCTTTATTGAGATCCATATTTGTCCATGGAAATCAGTATGTCCTTTATCATCTTCATGGGAAAATGCACCCCAATGCACCCCTTCCGTTGTTCCCGGGAGGGCAGCCCCACTTGTTGTCAAACCGCCCTAGAGCATCCACACATCAGCACTGCTCAGGACCCTCCTAGGTGCTAATTTAAAAACAAAACAAAACAAAACAAAACAAAAAACTGCTAGCTTTCTCATATGGTCTGTTTTCAAGAACTATTTTTGTTCTCCTTACCCACAATGCCTGGCAGAGGATGAGTAGCCGCTTCCTGGGGCACAGCGCTGAGGGAGCGCACGCCTTCCCCTCTCCTCACTTCAAATGGCTCCTTGGAGACCCCTGGACCTAGCACTCCCTATGCACTCCTTTGATCCTTTCTCTTTCTGCTCCAGAAAGGTACTTAAAATGCTTGAATGATGGTGGCCTACCCTGAGCCTGACAGGTACACATGGCGACTTAGGCATTGTTCTGAATTTCTGTGTGCTGCTGAACAATAAAAGAAATATTTCTGCCCACTCTCCACCCACGAACAAGAATCAGTCACAGAAACACCCTGGGAAAGAGAGGCTGTGGGTTCAAGGGGTAAGGGGAACCCCCTGGAAGGCGGCTCCCGGGCCCCAGCAGAGCAGCTGGGGCACCAGGGGAGCTGGTTCCCACAGGACTCAGCATTTCTGGCCAGGTTGGTACAAGACTAACACAATGGTTGCGATGATGTAAGAGTTTCGTCTTACACATCCATGAGCTGCGACTGTTTACCAACACGCTTGGGGGAGGGGTGGTGCATGCACCCAACCACAATGGTGCCAAGCTTCCCCGCCACTCTCACATGTAGACAAAGCATTGAAACTGCCCGGGATGGCGCAGGAGTCAGAGGTGGGGAAATCTGTATTCTTTCCTTAAAATGACAGAAGGGGCAAAAGACATGGAAATCAGCTCATGAATGCCTTGCCCAGGGAGCATGTCACCTCTCCCATGTGCCAGACATCAGGACACTATAGACACGGAGGGCAACGCTGTGCAGCATGGCCTGTTTCTAGGCCGACCAGTACGCTGGCTGCACACATGGATGCAAGAGCTCTGTAAAGGAAGCACACGACCACACGCTCCACGACTCAGAGGGCAAAGTGGATGCCCGGGGATGGCTTGCAGACACTCGGTGTCTCGGGCCACAGCAGGCGCTGCACAGAGCAGCAGTGCCCTGCAGTCATCCCAGCTTATACCCTAGCATGTTTACGGAAGTCCCGAGGTCACACTGGTGAGAATGCCAGGGTGTCCCAGTCAGAGGTCAGGCATCTATGGAGAGGACTAGTCATAGTGGGGCTGGCAGAGCTTGAGGGGTGGAAGGGAATTTTCAAATGCTCTCTGCTCTCTGGCTGTAACTCCTGCTCTTTAGTGGGCTTTGGTCTCTGTCCAAACCCAGTGTGGGATGGCTGAGGTCTGCCAGGACGAGGAGCATGTGAGCACAGGGCGCTGTTTTGCATGGATGGAGATTTCTTTGTGGGAGAACCACCCGGGACAGTGAGCCCCGGAGGAAGCTGTCAGCGTTATGGCTCCAGCGGGCAGCCCGTGAGTGAGGTGAGTCCTCTAGGTCGGCTGGTGACAGGGCAGGGACCTCAGCTCTGGGTGTGCCAGCCAGGACTGCATGGGGGACATTAGTGGGGTGGGGGAGGGGCGTCCTTTGCAGAACGGCATTGGGACGAGTCGGAGTGTGGATTAGGACAGCTAAGGTGCCCCCTGGGAGACAGGATGCAGCGTCACGGCTCTAGGCCAAGTGACCGCGTCTGACTGTGGGACAGAAGGCTCTGGAGTCAATGCAGGATGGGACGCATGTACACACACACTAGCACTACTCTGGGGACTTCAGGTCGTCCCCTTCTGGCTCTTCCCTGAACCTCAGTTTGCAGGAGAGGGCGGGAGGGATGGTAGAGGTGACCGAGGGGGACACAGGGTTCCTGAGAAGGACAGGTTCGCTCCTTGCCCTTACCTTGCTAACCACGTTCTGGACGAGGCCGGTGCGGATGCCATAGTCCCACGCGTGGCAGTCGCAGTTGGAGGCGTTGTCCCCCTTGTCCGGAGGGGACGAGAGGGGCGGCATGTCACCCCCGTCCACGCTGCTGCTGTTGCTTCTGTTGCCCGTGGCTCCCCAGGCGGCAGTGGAGAAGGGGGTGGTTGGGGGACTGGTCCAGTTGCCCGGGTCGCCCCACTGGCCGGTCACGGTGGCCCCAGCCAGCTCAGAGCCTTTGCCGGCCCCGCGGCACCAGAAGTTGGGCTGGTCCAGAAGGAAGGAGTCCGAGAACTGGCTGAAGCCGATGAGCAGCGCGGGGATCCAGGTGAGCAGCACGAGGGTCCGCTGGTAGCCGCCGCCCAGGCCGCCCAGGAAGGGCAGCACCGACCCGTCATAGTCCAGCAACAGGAGGCTCGGGGCGGCTGCGGGCGCGCAGCAGCCCGAGTGCGCGCCGCCAGCTCCCGGAGGCAGCGGGGGCAGCGGCTGGATCTCTGCGCGCCCCCCGAGAGGCGCCGAGGCGGCCGCGTCCCCGGGCGGCAGGG